AATAAGACGGGACGCGAACTGCTGGAGGCCTGGATGTCAGATCCTAACTCCACAAACAGGCATGTGGATATACCGCCCTGTTATTTTGTCATCCGTGCCCGTGACCAGAAACCAGGGCCCAGTTCCTCTACAAGCATGCAGTCCACCACGTCAGGGTCACACGCCGTTTACTCTGAAGATGGCTTCTCGTGTGGAGCCGAAAGCTCAGAATAAAACTATCGTTCCAGAGCCTCTCCCGTACAACAAGAACCTGGGGCACGCATATTCGCTTCCATTCGAGAAATACAAAAACGTTTTCCAATAAATTTTCCACTTAAAAAGGAGTTGAATGTGGCATTTTCCTGGCGCAGTTCATATTCCTACATCCTTTTTCCAATTATCTTAACAGAGAACATCTGCAACTGCTCCCTGTGAGTAGTCTCAGTAGGCACATAATGGGACTTTTTAGTGTACGGCGAATAAAATCGTCGTCCTGCTTCCTTGTGGACATTTTTAGTCCGATCTGCTTATTTATGGATTACAGTATTACCATTAATAATGCGCGAGAGAGTGGGCATACTTCTACTGAAAACACTTGCCAACGACTCACGCGGTACCCCATTTGCAGCAAATTTCAGTATTCGTTCATAGACAATTGCAGGTGAAAACTGCTTGGACATTTTTCACGTAAGGCGTGACAGAGAAAACGGACGCCATGTGACGGGCGCTCGTATACGTGCTTGTCTACTGTTCTTAATATCGACGTGGTAAAAACCACCAATGAATCAGTTTAGTACGGTGTTTTATGGTGCAAAACAACAACTTTGCAAAACCACATTCTTTAGACCAAATACACACTTCTATTTCAGAAAATAGTCTGATTTTCCATACTTACATTAGTTTGTTTTCATGAACACGAGACGAAATTTTCCGTTCCCAGGAAAGGTATAATAATGAATTGTCTGCCTTATATTAATGTTATTTTACAGTACAACACGCACAAACAAGAATTTTTGATTCGTAGCGTTCAATAGCTTAGGCAATCCCTCAAATATCAAGAAATGTTGGATTTTAGGCAGATTGTATTGCTAGCAAAGTCAAAGGAGACTGGAATGAACATTTCTGGCTTATTATCCGTCGTCAGTGAAGCATATTCAATACCAAGTAGTGCACTACCCGATGTTCGAACTCGCGACCTTTTCCATCAGAGTCGAACGCTCTAACCATTGAGCCACGAGCTCGTTGTCTTGCCGGTTTAGGTCGGGAGATGTTGACCCTCGTTGATGAACGTTCACTGACTGCAAAGAAAACTCTCTTCCTCTGCTCTGCCTTGGCCCTCATTTCTCGATCTCTGACAGCAGCCATAGCGACTATGAGCCTCAAGTGTTAGTGTTGCACAAACTCACAACACCGGAAAATCAAAAGCAGTCCATAATCATCAATGACTACATTGTCGACATCGGTGATAGATGTCCTTGGAAAATTTGTTAAATTGGACTGCTTTCAAAACGACGCTAGTGTCGTGCACTGATGACCTCATCGTAGTTCAAATAAACAGTCAGAAATAAAAATCGGTTTATAATGGGTGAAGTAGGCCAACAGACGTATATTTAAAAAAATTACATGCGAATGGAGGAAGGAAAAAATGACGGCTCAATTTGAAAAGCCCACCCAATTTGAGAGTGACCACAGTAACAATAGACATTAATCATACTGTTAGTTGAAAATGACTAACGCACCGTTATCCTCGACATAGTGGGACGTAAGAATGTCTCATATGCTCTCCCCCACCCTAAATGGGACATGAAATAGGAATTCACAGCCCAAGACAAAAGGGTTACCTTACGCATAGCTTCAGGGGAGGTAAATAATCCTTACAGTAGGATTGGCCTTAAACTAAACGTGGTATTATTCTTAATCGTAACCTTAAACCAAACCGTATCCTACAGTTAGCCCTAATCCTAATACGAACCCTAATCCCCGTTTTAAACCTAACCTTACCTTACGCTTAACGCTAACAGTACCCTGACAGCAGCCGTGATGGGTAGTAATCTTAGGCGATATTATTACCGGCAATGTATAAGACTTTGGTTTTTGCCTAATTCTGTGCTTTGTGCCTCCAATACACTGCTCTAAAGTGAACTATCCTTCAGTAAACAGCATTTTGCGTCTCATATCCATTGCATGAAAAAAATGAACAACCTCAAGTCTGTGCTCAGCCGCTCCCTCAAATTTTTATCTTTAAATTTCATGAGTTTGACAATTTACTGTACATGCGCACTGCTAAACGACTTTTTGGCTGCTGAGCGGACTGAATTTCGTGGAACTAATAACGACGAATTTTGGGAGCACAAAAATATCAATAATTCTAGTAAAACTGAACAGCCCAGGGTTTTGCTTAACAAGAATTACTAAGGGCCTTTCGAGAGTTTCGTATCCTGCAACCAGCTAATTCAAATTAGTCGCGAATTCCACGAAACACACGTTTGATTGCCAATATCGACTGTGCGGGAATGGCTCGCTTCATTTGTCCAATGGTAATTTCTCGTTTATGAACTTACCTCGCCCGCAACATTCGTTCGGGGGCTGATACTTGGGACTTTGTCTATACCTTTGGATAGTTTATTTCGCTAGTTTGGTGGTGGCTAGTGCCGTCTGCTGAGGACATGTGCCTATGTGAAGGAATTCGCCAGAAATATGTAGTATCGCTGCGATATTTCTACTGGAAACAATTCTTTTGTTACTATCATTATGAATTATGCATGCAAAGATTTCAAATTAGTTCTTGTTGACAGAACAACAGTCCCACAACAAACGTCGTAAAATGTCTGATGGAAAGTATAAAAACAACTTTCCTTTTTGACAAGCATTAACCAAACAGGAAATTCCTAAAACAAACCACGCTCTAAAAATCGCTGCGCATCAAGCGGAACTTCAATTAGGACTGCAGCTTATGATTAACGATAGACATTTGCAAGGCCCCAAATACGTACGCTTGCAGCATGCCCCTGTAAAGAGACGAATACCACCTTACTAGCTGGAACCCTGTCAGGTTAATTTATAAAGTACCTTATCTAGCTCTTGGTTAATCCTGCCTGTAAAATATACTATGTGGTCCACCACCACATATATTACTACTGGAGTACAGGAGGTAACAAATATAGATAAGTCTGGCCAACTTCTGATTGCGTAGAAGTTAAATTTAAGTAAATCCGAGAAAAAATGTTTTCGATATTAACATGTTCACTTGCATAGCATGTTAAGAGCATGGTAGTCACATTTTTTAATAAATAGTTTTTTTGAACTGACCATGTTTTCCACAAACAAAATCTTATGGCCTCTATCCTCGGGTAGTTGGCAGCTACAGAGTACTAGGTGAGAGATCACACAATAATCTGTCCCCAACCGATGGGTTCAAGCTCCATTCTAATTTTGAAGCCTTACGATGGAACGAAGAAGACTGCCATTCGAGGATGCTGGATAGAGCTTTCCGAGAATAAAAAAACGTATGTCTTTAATTCTATAAACCCGAACATAGACTCTCATAGTACCACGAAGGCTTCAGTGAATGAAGAACATAAACCCGCCAACCGTGCTTTTATCTTCAAGATAAAAGTTCGATAAGAGTTTTGGATCAGGAGTACCGACTGAAAACCAACATTGAAATAAAAAGCACGTGACATTGCAATAAATCGCAGGAAGGGTAAATATTATCGTGCCCTGAGCCAGCACTAACGCTAACCTAAACGTCTATAGTAACCCTAAATGCAACTTTCACCCTAACGTTTGCTCCAACCTTGCCCTAGTCTTAACCCTCATCGCAACAGTAAACCAAAATCCCCTGGAATTAAGCGCATAGCCACCTGTATTAGGAGTCATTTTTAGCCCACTGGCCTGCCGAGGGCGTCATTTATACGTTATCGTTACTGAGGTTTGCCTTGCATTTGACCAATTATAGTTCCGTGCTTCCTCCTCCTTGTACCAGACTGCATGTGCTTTTTCGGCGACAACATACAAATGGATGCTAATTTTCACCTTCCTGACGTAGGCTATTTAAAACTCTGTCCCGTTTTATGCCGTTTCTTTAACAAAAACACCATTTAACACCTTGTCCTACTCATGCGCCTCTTATTCCCATTGTCAGTGGCTTTGATCTTTTGCGTTGTACATGGTCTCTACGACTAAAGTTGTGTCTCCCGGGGGAGCTAAAAAGCCGTCTGAGTTAAAAGGGATGCACTGTACATTGATACCTTTCAGCGCAACGACCGTGAAAATTTATACCTGCTCCTTCCTAACATCAAAAAGGACCTTAAACTCAGGAGACATTCTGGAAGCCACGCCACCACCCCGGCTTCTCTATGCTTCACTATTCGATGCCAATAAATCTTGTGTCAACATCCTTTTTGAAAATGTCGACATCCAGTGACGGAATGGGGCATCAAGTATGACTCCCGCCGCATAAACTTACTCTTTTCGCACGCGAGCCTTGAAATGTAACAAACGGTGCTTCAGTGGAGCGCAACGAGTAGGAAGTAGAACAAGGCAGTCTTTGTCCCCACATCTAACCCCACTTCGTTACACCAGCCGCCTCATTACTCCCTGTTCCAACGCCTTTCAAGTCCTTAGTATTCCTGAGGGGGGGGGGAGGATACCCTCGTCGGACAGAGGCCGTAATACCGCTGATTTAAGTGGGCATGCCAGCGTGACTGAGTTTTGCTTTTTCAATCTAGGCGGGAGCTACTTCGAAGCATACTTAATCCTTAACCTCATTCAGGCCTGTTACTATGCTTTTTTGTCCAGCACGGGACAGCTACAGAAACCTGTTTCGAACTTCTACATTCCCAGGCCTTTTTAAACATTTTAGCTGGACACGAAATTTGAAATAAATTTTACTCTAAAAGCTCTCGATGATCACTTATTGGACTTCAACTGAAGTCGTGTGTTCCTACCTCATGAAATTATCCATTTAATTAAATATAAATTTGTTGAGGGAAAACCTACATAAATAATACACTTTGTGCTATCGTAGTAGCTCTGAAGAATCGGCGACTTTTTGCAATGATTTTTAACTGCTGCGTCATTAAAAACACTTTTTCTCAAATACAAAAGCAAAATTATTTAAAAGTTATAAGCCTGACGCGACACAAGTGGCGGAGATGTTTGATGGCGCAGAAAATTGCAGACTGGTGGTTCCGCCTCTGGACAGTGACATGCAGTCGTCATTTGTCGTGTAAATGGTTTTAAAAAGCGAAATTAGTCGCCGTACGTTTGATGCATTTTTGATTGCATGAAAACAGCTGTTTGACGTCATTAGTATCAGTATATATGAGGGAGATTTAGATGGGTTACCTTTGAGTTCCCTATTTGTATATGCGCGTTGGGGTATCAGAAAATTAGTATCTCGGAGTATTGGCGAGGCCAAATGACACGAGTCAATGAGGTGGAACATAGTTAAAAAGAACAGACAATGAAAAAACTGCTTGAGATTTTTTAGGAGAAAAAACTGTCGCTCTTAGCTGTGGGAGGGTATAACGGGGGAATTTTTTAGGAGAAAAAACCCGCTCTTGGGGGAGGGTCCAAAGTGTCATCAAATGTAGTAGATGACACCTGCAACGGACTACTAAACATTGATCATAGTCTCCCTAAAGTGCAAATTCGGCCTTGACATTCACTTCTGTTGGACCCGTATGCTGCTCTGCAATTATATTTCACGAGGTATGCACATGCATTTCCCTTTAGTTGTGATTAGGCAGCATTGAAAAATCTCAAGGGAGGGAAATTTTTATATTTTTTTCTATTTCTCACAGTATCAATTTTCCGAACTTCTTCGCTTTTCCGGTAATATGAAGTTGTGACCTAGCTATCTTCTAAGATACCTACAGCAGTGGCATAAGTCGATCGACTGTTTGATAAGGATCTGTATCAACCACAGCTTCAAGTTCATATAGCCGGCAGTAGAGAATTTCTGTAAACCTTCTGAATTTTTGGACTGAATATGCTGTCCTTTCATTTTCTGAAGGAGCATCTACCCCTTTTTTCTTTAGTCGGACTTTCATAAAAAGCCCCTTAGATGGTACGAGTTCCTACTTCTAGGCAATAGCCGGCAACAGGCTTGCAAGATCTGCCTCAGCACCTTTGGCAGCACCAGTAACGGCCAGGTGTCAAGTGAAATGATGTCAAATTTCATTTTAGCCCTGGAAGGCATGGATGCTTCAACCGAACCGGAAGTGCCATCCAGTGGAGTTCTCGTAGCGTCGAAAATCGTATTTATTGATTCTTGTTCACCGGTGGTAGAATGGGAAAATACGCCCAAAGATGAAGTCAATGAAGTTTACCTCCAGCAGTTTGCTATCGAAGAAATTGTTTTCGGATATACAGAGGAGCTACATTTTGACAGATGCGTATAAGGGATTCATTGTTTTTCTGTGTTACCATAACCTCAAGCATCTCGGGCACATGTTGTGCGTTTCCATTATAGTTCGAATCGAATATGTTTACATCCCTGTAGGGAACCTGGTCTGCTGGATTCGAAAAATAAGGGGTGCTTTTTCCCTGTCATGGTCACCTCCCGTAACGAGGATACCACTGATCTTGCAGGGTTTGAGCTCGGAGCAAAACTGCTCGTTGAACTAGATTATATGCAAAACTCTCAGGATATATCGGATATTTTTCTTAGCCTCAAATCTTTATAATATACTGCATATAATATAATAACATATACAAATTTGATATTTTGTGAATGCCAACTGATGACTAGCGTCAGGTGTGTTTGTTAAGGCGGGAATCAAAACTTAAGCATACTATTAAGGTCAGTCTGCTTTACAAACTCCACATGCCGCAACTTCTAATCCTTACCTGAGAAGTTTCCTTCTGCGAACCATACTAGCGAAGTTCGTTCTACCCTGAGTTAACTTGTCGTTGCCCTAACATTCTTTTGATAATTTCTTTTAAAAACCACGTGTCGAGATATTAAAACGTGAAGAAGAGATGTTATGGAGTATCTCCGCAAACAGTATTTCAGATCATTCGGTGGTGAAAATTGATCAACAGCACATAGGCTTTAAGCATTTACATGTAATGTCCATCTGTTGAACATCTCGTTTGTCTCAATCGATCCCTTGTGGTTTAATGCGAGCGGACACATCCGTTCTCGTAGTTTACTGTTTCCGCTTAGCATCTCTATCTGTTACTTTGTCAGCAGTGCTCAAAGAGCAGACAACTCAGATGATAAATGACAGTAATTCTTTGTCGAATCCTAAGTTAAGAGTCGGTTTGGCTGTGGGAAAACTTTTATTAAATTTGTGTTTTGGCTACATATTTATTTATGGCAAAAGTATTAAATAGCCTCTATGTGGCAAAACCCATAATACACGGTAATATAATATCCACCAACTCTACGGTTTCGTCATATTAGAAGTTGGAAGAATATTTTTGACTGACGTACCAGTTACAACCTCTACGTGAACATAATCATAACGTTGGCCAAAAGCTGTCAGATCATTCGGTCATACTTAAAATCATTAATTGTAACGAAACTTTAGGTAAACAATGAGTCTTTGTCCTCTGCATTGTTAACCTTTACCTTGTCAAGGTTAGCCGCTTATGAGTTTTTTATCCCGAGTCAGGAAACACAAACTGACTAATAATTATCGTCAAGCTAAACGAATAAGAGATTACTGCAATGGAAACCACAGGCCCTTTGAATCCCCAGTTGTCCTTAAGGTATAGGTTGTTTTAACTTCAGCTATGCTCCTAGGTTGGGAATGCTAAAATAGGAAATGTCAAAGACAATTTCATTCCATATGTGCTAGAGGAATTGTGTTGAGGTAGCATTGTAAGTTAATTGAATGGATTAAGACTACTGCGTCACTTCCATTGACGATAAGCAAGTACTATACATTGTTGTCACAACACGAATTCAACGGAGAATATTTATGTGTAAGGTTAAAAGTAAAAGGGGAAGTCCAGGACGTAAAAATAAAAATTGGAGCGTGCACTGCATAGCCAACCAGAGTATACTATAAAAAAAGTGGAAATATTATACAGAGGGTAGAGGATAAATGAACACACCGATTATTACTAGGAAAGCATTAATAAAGACAGTAAATAGTTCTCGTTTGTGAATCAAGAGTATGTTCCTATAAAAAGTGCCACCTTTCGTGTTGCATTACAAAGTATATGACAATAGTTGACGCGGATATGGAGTTCATAAATGCAACCAGAGCGCGAGATGCCTCCAATGACGTTTAAGTAAGACTCCTGAATGGTTTACATCGTTTATAGGTCTTTCTTAAGTTTGTGATAACGACAAAATACGAGTTTTGAATGATTTTACTGTTGGTTAATCGTTTTAAGATTTTTAATGCCAAACATTTACAAGTTCAATACTGACATGACAGCGAAGTAAATAAAGCCCAGGTACAAGGACTAGTAGTTGTCAAAACCTTACACGCTTTCTTCTGCACAGAGGTCATGACAGTTCATCCCTGCCGATGACATCCGCTTGTAGAAGCACATGCGTTCAACAAGACAGGCCCAGTTTCCCAAAACAACATGTTATTTTTATGACGACAGCTTCAATTTCAGTAACTAGGCCGTATGTGAGCGTAGCTGACTGGATATTCGGTCATTTTAACCTGACCCAAGCCACCATCTAGTCGGAGGCTGCGTCGAAGCATGTTATTAGCACAAAAAAACGAGCGGGTACAGAGGAGGAAACCAGTGCCGTGTGAAGAGGAAAGTTCAGTTTTTCCCATGACATGGTCTGCAGCATGTTGAACATCGTTGCCCCTTTTCTAATTAGGTCATGCTTGCAAACGGCAATGACCGTGTTGATGGAAAAGGGTCAGGTGTGGCGTCTGTGGTGAAATGTTTTGGTTCCCAAGAGGAATGTAAAAGGTTTAAAAGGAAAGCGGGAAGGGTTCTACTAAATGGGGTTGCGTATGCTGTGGTTCGGTTGCAATCAAACGTAAAATAAATTCCCAAAGCCCACATTGGTTCAAAGTAAAATAATTCCAGAAACCGCGAAAATAAGCAAATGCATGAATAAAGTAGAGGACTGGTCGAACAGCGGAACAGTTTTTTTATTATGCTGAGCTCTCGAACTCGGGGAATAGTGCGTCGCCAGAGATATCAGCAACAACAAAAAGGCAACAGTTATAAAAAAAACCTATTCTGGTGCTCGACTAGCCTTCTTCATAACTCATGCGAACACCTGGTACGTGAACTATCGCACCCACTCTTAAATAAATGAATTTAGGAAATAGTGAGTATGGAGTTCGCTTTCAAAACGGTCTGCTTAAGCGAGGTGTAGGGTATGTCTGGATGTGTAGATTAAATGTACAGCAACTACCTCTAAAAGACAATTTGCATGAAAAGTATTATTTTTTCGGAAGTTAATGTGAAAAGGTCCATGTATCCTTTAACAACATACGACTGTATATCGAAGCGTTTTGAAGAAAAGGAAGGAGACGTTTCCAGGTAGGCCGCATTTCTCTTTGAGCAATTTACTTTAATAAAATCAACAATTATAACACACTAATGCATGATCACGCGAGTATGTATTTCGTTTTTGACTCTAAAGCAAGGTCTTCTATCTGAATACATCTAAAACTAGGGACGGTACGCAAAAAGACAAAGAACAGGTGTTGAGCTTTCTATATTCGCTCCAGATGGTCGTGGAAAATCTGCAAGGCATTTGCTCGACCATTAGTAAATTCGTAGAATCTAAGAGCACTGAAAAACGTTTTGTTTAGGGCAATGGATCTCAATATTTTAATGTTTTCCCACATAAGGCAGGTTTGCTAGTGTCTATAGACTTTTGGGTAGTTTTATTGTTGCTCAGCAGATCTATTCAATACTTGTCTC